GAGACAAATAGAGACATGCACACTCATGTTCATTACTGCATTAATCACAATAGCAAAAAGACAGAAACAACCTAAGTGGTCCTCAGCGGATGAAAGGAAAACAAATTGTGGGTCACACATATAATGGATTCCTCTATAATGACAAAGATTAATGATTAGTCTGTGAAATAAAATATGGATGAATCTGGAGGACATTATGCTGCGTGAGATAAGTCAGCCACAGAAGGACAAATAATACCACTTTCATGAAGAGTCAAGAATAGGTACACACACAGAAAACGATGCTCTTTGATGGTTACTAGTGATGGGAAGAGAGGGGAGGTAGAATCACTAGGTAGTAAACGTGATAAATCAGGTGATGGGAAAGGCAATAAGCAACGTGGGGGAAGTCAACATAACTTGTTCAACGTAAATGAAGACACAGAGATACAGAAGAATAAAGAACAACTATGGTAAATGCTATAACACATACAATTGTGCAAAAACAGTAATAACAAGCCAAAAATATGGGATTTATATGGGTAGATAAGTATGCTATATGGGTGTGGGAAGGCTTATGGTATTACATTCGCCTGCACACATATCTGTGGGGTGAAGAATGTACAAAGGAGCCCTGGCTGTGATGTGGTTAAGGTATTGGGCTGCTAACCAATAGGTCGGTGCTTTGAAGCCACCAGCTGGTCTGTGGGAGAAAGATGAGGCAGCCTGCTTCCATAAAGATTTACAGTCTTGGAAACCCTTTGAGGGTTGCTATGAGTCAGAATTGACTCCATAGCAGTGGGTTTGGGTTTGATATGTATATGCATGTTTGTATTGCTGCATATATATATATATATATATATATATATATATTCATGTATACAATAAAGCACATAGGAGGCACAGTTAGGGATACTTCCTAGACATAGCCAAACAGCTTGTGGGATTGATTTACTGGGTTTGAAGGTTTAGGACCATAATCTCATTGGGTGAACAGGTCAATTGGCATAATTTAGTTCATATAATATTCTACATCCTGGTTTGGTGAGTCGCATCTGGGGTCTTAAAATCTTCCAAGTGGCATCTAAGATTCAAGTAATCATCTCTTTCTGTCTGGAGGCAAAGAAAATGAAGGAAACAAAAGACTCAAGGAAGAAATTAGCATCATGCAAACCACAACCTCTTCTAGCCTGAGAACAGAAAGACTAGGTGGTGCCTGGCTATCACCAACAATTGCTTTGACTAGGGAAACAATAGAAGGTCTCAAATAGAAGGGAAAAAAATGTTGAACAGAACTCAAATTCATAAAAATACCAGAGTTACTGGGCTGACAAAGACCAGAGGAACCCCCAAAACTGTCACCCTAAGATACCCCTTTGACTTGGAACTCAAGCTACTCCTAGAGGCCACCTTTCAGCCAAATAATAGCTTGGCCTATCAAATAAACAATAACACCTGTGAAGAATGTGCTGCTTTAAATCTACTATATGAGACCAAATAATCAACATTTATCCAAAGCCAAAGATGAGAAGGCCAGGAGAGGCAGGGAGACTGGATGGACAGAAACAGGACAGGCAGCGTGGAAATGGAGAGTGCTGACATGTTGTGGGGATTGTAACCAATGTCACAGAACAATTCGTGTATGAATTGTTGGATGGGAATCTAAATTTCTGTGTAAAGTTTCACTTAAATCACAAAATATTCAAAAAAGAAGCACAGGGCTTGGGGGAAAGCTCTGACTTCTCCCCATGAGCCACACTGTGTGTGGGGCAAGTGGTATACAGGACACAAGCTAATAAACTAAGGGCCACACACAGCTGGGAGCACTCTGTTTGAAAGCATGACATACAAAATAAACTGATTTTAGCAGATTTTTTTTTTTAATGACCAATAAAATCTTAGAACGTATTTAAATTTTCAGTTAGTGTCTATAGAGTTGTACTTGCTAAGACACTTGCAAAAATGACTATTTTAAGGAGTGGCATTGTTCTTTCTTCAAATGATACAAACACTTCAACTGAAGGCTGCCTAAATTTCCCATTATTCGCCAAAAGTTACCATCTGACCAGTTTAGACTATATTTAAATATTACGTAGAGAATCATCAAGTTCTTTAAGTTTGTATATGTTACAGAGTATGATGGTTCATTTTATGTCTCAGTTTGGGTACCCTTTGGTTCCCAGTGGTTTGGCTTTGGCCAGACACTTGCAGTTCCATAACGGAATGTAATCATCAATTTCAATTCAGAGCAACCTCCATATGACAGACAAGAACTTCCCCTAACGGGTTTTCTAGGCTATAATCTTTATGAGGTCACATTGCTAGGTCTTTTCTCCTGTGCAGTCACAGGATAGGTTCAAACCACCAACATTTGATTAGCATCTGAGCTCTTAACTATTGTGCCATCAGTCAATCAGTTGAAAAGGGAGTTTCCTTAGATGTGTTATGCTGCCAGAGTATAAATAGATATTTTGGTAGAACTGGTCTCTCCCCACTCTGTACCCTTCCCATCACCTGACCTATGGATCTTGGGACAAAAGCCTGTGGGAATCTCCAGCATGCCAGCTGACCTATGGGTTTTGGACTTGTCACTCCCCACAGTCATATGAACCAATCCCCTGTAGTAAATTTCCCTCACTCTCTCCAAGATATATATATATCACTGTTTTCTTTTTCTGTAAAGAAACCTTACTAAGACTCAGGCTTCCTCAAAATACGTTGTACACGTATGGTACTTCCTTGCTCCTAGATTTTGGAGAGGCAGGAAGTCTAAGAAAAAAAGGGCAACATACACCCAACCATGTCGTCCTGTTCAAGCATGCACATGATTTATTTAAGTATTCTCCAAAGGTCTATTTTCTGTCCAGCATAATGCAGATATTATGCTATCCTTTGAAATAAGATATATGAATTTCAAACAAAATTGTCAGAAACAATGACCTTGGTTACTTCATATGATACACAGAGATAATTACATTTTACTTACAATACAGATGCACTTAACACAGTCACCAATAATCATTCACCACCAACACAGTATATTTTAAAATCACCTAAAACACCAAAAAGTATTTTTTTTCAAAATTCTAAAGAAATTAATAGTTTTGGAAAAATGATAAGTTGAAAGAGGAGGTAAAATTGTTAACTGAAAGAATCTATCTTTTATTTTATATTAAGACCTTGAAAATAAACCTTCTCATTGGGAATCAAAACATCTAAATATTCCTGCATTGTGGTTTTCTTAGTCTAGTGTTAAAAAGTTTTTCAATAAATGCCATCAGAGAAGTTTCACTATACATTTGCTCTAGAAGCATAAAGTGACATGAGGCAGGTGTTAATAATTGTTAATATTCACGCTGCTGGAAGATTAGTAACTTTTTAGAAGACATAGTAGTAATAAAGCCAGTTCTTCCCAAGGGATGGTTGACTATATCTTACTCTCATTCAGCAAATGTTTATTAAGCATCTACTGTGTGCACAGCACTGTTCTAGAAGCTGTTCTAGAAATAGGAAGCAAGGATAATTTCTGGCTTTACTTTAAAATGGTTCAATCAATTTCTTTTTTATGATAAGCATTTAGAAATCCCTATAGTAGCAGATAATTATTAATCCTTTCCATGTATGGAAACTAAACTTTTTTCTTTACAGTGGTGGTTTGGGATGAACAAAACTTTTCATTTGATATAAACTTTTTACACTGTCTCTTGCAGGTGTGTCTGCTGACCTAATATGTTCTGAGAGGTGAAAAGGTAGCTTTTTCACTTAAATGTACATAGAGATCAACTTTGCATCATCAAACTCTTGTCCTCCTGTTGCGGGGAGGGAAATGACTGCTTGGAATATACAGGAAACTTTCTAAGATAAATTAGTGCTGCCTTCCCAAATGGCATGGAAACCGGTCTTTCATCAAATATTGCTATGTAAAGCACTACAGTTTATCTCTGCATTTCAATTCACATTTGTTATTCTCAAATGTATTTGAGATCTAAAGCAAAATAAATAATACACCATATAAGCTTCTGGGATCATTGATCCTGTGACCTATCACTCTTAGTCCCAGCCAGTTCTTTTCATGGAACATCTAGTGATACATCCAATATCTTGGCTTTTCCATAAGAGTAAAGAGGTTAGAGATCATTCATAGAGGCCAACTCCTTTTCTTTCTAAGTTTTGACAAGGGGATCGATGACAGCTACCTACTTGCAAGATAACTGGTTAGGAAATACAAAAGTATGAAAGTCATTTGAACTACAAAAGGTAGCCCAGTTGAGAACAATAAACCCAATAGAAAGATGCTATAGAAATACAAGAACAGATAATGCACTGTGTCACAGGAATACAGTGGACCAAAAGGATAATACTTAAAAACATGTATGGCACAATAGTTTTGGATTGAAAAAGTTACCTAAACCTTGGCCACACTATGAATGCGGCTCTTACTGTATCTATGAAGATCTGGAAAATACAATGACAAAAGAATCCTGATTTCTGGTACAACAGGTGTACAATGAATTATTGCAGTTGTAACAGTATCTAGGTGCAAGGTGAAGTGATAATTAATAGTGAACTATCCGAAAACTTTAGCTGTACTAATGAGCATCCCCGTGAGAAATACTGCAGCTCTAAAAAGGAGTTTATTTGCACAGCCCACCATAGAACATGAACAATCAGCTTGTTGTAAGTACACAGAAATGTCCCCTTTCTACAATTATAGTTTATCATGCCTATTCTGAAGACAACATAAGGGAACTGAGATCACTGCTCCAAAGACTTCTAGCATGCATTATGATGGTATTTCCTTGAGTCGATA